GTCCGCGTCGTCGCCCTCCGCCGCGACGTCGATGCCCGGCGCGACGCTCACGGGCACGAGCTTCCCGCAGATCGCGCGCATCGACATGGAGTGCAGCCCCTTGAAGATGTCGAGCTCCGCCAGGGTGTCGTAGGTGAGGTGGACCGCCGCCTCCACGCGCACCGCGTGCGGGAGGTTCTCGAGGAACTCGGCCTCCGACGGCGCGCCCACGCGCTTGCCCCACACGTCGAGGTAGTACGCGCGCACGCGGTCCTTGAGCGCGGCGGGCAGCCCCCCGGACTTCATCCACGCGTCCATGGCGGCCATCTTGCTGCGGAACTCGTCGCGCAGCATGGCCTCCTTGCCCATGCGCTGCAGCCGCGCGGTGATGGAGCCGAGCACGGAGGCGAAGAGGACGACCCCGAGCGACTCGATGCACATGGTCACCACGCGCTCGGCGTCCGTCGTGGGGTAGAACTCGCCGAAGCCGATGGTCGACATGGTCGTGAGCGCCCAGTAGACGGAGATGATGTAGTGCGAGACCGTGTGGAGGTCGACGTCCGAGTGCACGGCGACCCACGAGTTCTCGAGGCCCTGCCGCGCCGCCGTGTAGAAGAGCGCCATGCCGGAGATGTTGATGATCACGAAGTAGAGGTACGCGAGCTGGATCATGTAGGTCGTGCTGGGCGTGAGCTGGATGGGCAGGATCGTCTGCAGGACGCTCGGGTGCTGGCTGACGCTGGTGGCCGCGGAGAAGACGGCCACAAAGTGCTTCACGAGGCGGAAGAGCCGGAAGAGCCGGAGGGCGTTGACCCAGGAGACGTTGAGGCGGCTCGTGCCCCAGACGATGAGCGTGAGCTGGAGCAGGAAGGGCAGGATGGCCAGGAAGTCGATGAGGAAGGTGCCGCGCAGGATGTAAAACTGCCCCGAGTCGCGGCCGTTCATGACGAGCTTCCGGCGGAGCTTGTTCGTGACGACCCAGCCGATCGAGAACTGGATGATCAGGTTGGCGATGAAGATCACGCCGGCCACGAAGTCGCACACCGAGGCCCACGACCACGACGCGGGGTTCAGGTCGAAGGCCACGGTGATGGGCACGATGAACGCGCTGTACACCGAGTCCACGACCAGGATCAGCAGCGTCCAGTACCGCACGAAGTCCGTCGACGGCGACACCATCGGCAGCCCCAGCATCGACCGGTGGCCCGCCGCCAGCCTGTTGAGCTTCAGACGGTCCTCGTTCACGTTCTCCAGCTGCGACGACGTCATGCTGACCTCGCTCTTCGACCGCTTATCTGCACGCGCGCGCCGCGGGGACCGGGGCGGGGGTCGGTCGCTGCGTGAGCGGGACGACGCGCCCGTGCTGGGTGTGGCGGGGGGGGACTCACGCTTGCGGCCCTGCGTCGTCTCGGTGCTGCGGCTGGCCGTCGTGCGCTCGCCGTTGGCCTCCTCCTCGGCTGCCGCCTCCAGCGACCCGCGCGCCCCGCGGGCCACCACGGGCGGCGGCGTCGTGGCGCCCAGCACGCTGTCTTCCGCGGGCGCCGCACTCAATCCGGTGTGCGACACGTCCCGCGGCAACCTCGGAGGCTTGCTCCTTGCCATCCCGCACATGTTCATGCATTTGTCGTCCCCTGCGGGCGCAGGGCGCGAAGCTGTACCATGTGTGGGGCGCGCGAACCCGCACTGTAGAGGCGGTGCGAGGCGCGTCGGGGCGGCGCAGCAGAATTTCGTGCGCCCGCAGCGCTGTTTTCGCGACGCGGCGGCCGCGTCGTGGCGTCGCGCGGCCCCACCAGCCCAGCCCAGCCGCTGGCGACGCACCTGGGGTCCCGGCCGCACGCGCCGCCCGCTCGGCCTCGCGTTTCATGATGGACGTGTGCAGCTCGACGAGCTTCTTCCTGCGCCGCTGCTGCCGCGCCACCAGCTTGTCCCAGTCCTCGTCGGAGACGTTAATCATGCGGTCCTCGTCCACCAGCACCGCCAGGGGGTTCACGTCCTCGCCGAAGGTGACGTTGTACTGGTTCCTGCGCAGCACCGCGGCAGGGAGCCCCGCAGCGTCGCCTCGCGGGGTCACGGCATGCGCGCGAGGCCGCGGGCGCGACCTGGGCCAACAGAAGGCAGGGGGGGGCTGCTCGACGGCCGCGCCGGGATTTCCCGAGCACGCGCGGTGGCTCCTGCGCGGGAGCGCAACTGGGGTACCGCGGCACCGGGCGCGGGGGACGCGGAGCGTCCCGCGCGGGCCTGCGCAGCGAACGTGCCCCTCAGCCTGTTGCTGGCACTCGCCCGCGCAGAGCGGCTCGAATCCGGGGCCGCGGCGCACCTGCCCATCATCTCCTCTGCCAGGCGGTCCCCGATGGGGAGGTGGTCGGCGTCTCTGATCTCCTCCAAAGTGAATTGCTGCTCCAGAAACTCCCGGCTACTGGCCACCGAGGGCGCGTCCGAGTCCTCCGTGATGCGCTTCGCGGGATCCTGCCGCGACAAGACGCGCATCATGCCGCCCGTCAGCAGGCTGCCCTTCGGGGCGCTCCCCGGGCTCGGGGGCGACCCGTTGCCTTGCTCCATCCCCCTGCAGTGCTGTCAACAACCGCGCTCTCGCCGCGTGTGCAGGACGCCCTGCGCGCGGCGGCCGGGGGAGGCGGGAGGTGACGTGCGAGGCCCGCGCAGGGCGCTCCGAACGCGCGCTCGGGGGCGACGCGGCGGCCGCGGGAGGCGGAATCAGTGCGCGAGACGAGCTACCTCGGCTGCCGCGACGCGGGCTGGGGGCGCCGGTGCGGCGGGCTGGGCGGTGCGGCGCGCAGTGCCAGCGCGGGGCGTCGCGGGCGGGTGCCGTGGACGAACCTGGCCGCGATGAACCCGTTGCGAGGGGCTACGACATGGTTGCGCAGAGTTCGCGGTGCGGCCCGCTGGCACAGCGCGTGCAGGTGCTGCGGATTTCTCTGGCTCGAAATTTCTCGAAAGTTGTCGGCACCGCCGTCGCGGCACGCGCCGTCCCGTCGCGCGCTGCACGCCACAACCGCAGAGTGCTGCGAGCGCGTCCAGGAGGACGTCGGCGTTCCGGGGTCCTCGCGCCCGCCGCAGGTCGCTTATATCCGCGCGACCTTCGCAGTGAAAAAGACCACCCGCGCTGCCCAACCGGAGCGGCGCGCCACACCGGCAGCTGCCCGAGGAATCCCACCTCCAATGCGCCCGGCTCGAAGGCCTCAGCAACGACTGGAACGTGCGGAATCTGTTACTTCGTGCACGAGACTGCGCGTCCGTGCAGCCGGCCGGCCCGTTGGCGCCGTGCGGGGCCCGAACGCGGGTGCTGCTCGTGGTCCCCCCCTGAGGGGTTGAACCAGGTCGGTCGAGTCGCACGGCAGTCGGGATCCGTCGACTCCGGGCCAACCGCTGCCTGGTGGCCTTCGAGCCCGCGCCCCAGCGCCCTCCCGGCCACTTCCACGCGGCCCGAACGCCACACATCGCCGCCTCGAGCGACGCACCGGGGCCGGGGCACCGGCGCGTGCGTCGCGATGGCGCGCCGCGCGCGCCTCGCGGACGAGCAGGCGGGCGCTGGCGGTGGGCCCGCGATGTGGCACAGGGCGCCCGGGCTGCCGGACAACGCGGTCTCGGACACCTTCCTGGACTCACTCGTGATTGGGAGCTACGAGACGCAGCGGCGGGAGTACTGGAGCGTGGTGTTGGCGGCCACTGCAGTGACACAGCAGGTGGCCGCGGTCGCCGCGGTCGCGGTCGCATCCGTCCTGCTCTACCACGGCCGCGTCGCGACATCGACGGTCGTCACGGCGTCGCTGCTCGTGCTGGCTGCGGGTTGGTCCTTCTGCTGCTTCAGCGCAGGTGAGCTCCTGCACCAGCGCACCACGCCGCTGCGTCGCGAGGGTCGCCGCGGAACGACACGTCACCACGAAGCTTGCGGCCACGCGGTGCAGGCCGCGTCCTCGGCGGGTCCCTCCTCCGCGTGGGGCGACAAACTACGCTGCTGTACGTGGGTGTGCGCGGCATGTCGCCGCTCCTGGCGTCTCTGACCGCTACCATCAGCTCCGACACGGTCCTGGCAGTGTCCGTCACGCTCGCAGTGGCGCACCTGTACCTCCACGACTACAACTTCACCGCAGCAGCCTCGCGCAACCTGTCTGGTGACTGCCCCGCACCGCCCCCCGCCCCGCCCGCGCCAGCCATCGCTCCTCCGGGGGCCGCGCGCCATCGTCGGCGCACGCCGCGACCAACGAGCGCCCCACCGCGACCCCCCCTCCCCCCCACAGGCACCCTGTCTCTGTCCGCTGCAATCGGCGCGTCCGTGCTGGTGTCGAGCCGTCTGCCCACGCCGGAGTGTGTGTTCGCGCACCTGATCTTCTGCCTCGTCGTTTTCCTCCTCACTCCCTACATTCGCCACTTCGTCAGGTCCGACCGCCCCGACCAACACAGTGCGCCCCGCGCCCTCCCTGCCGCTCACCGGCGCGCTCGCGAGCACGCCCGCACACGCGCGACGCCGTCGCGCCGACGCACCGAGCCGCACGTCCGCCCGGCGCGCACGCAGGGCCCGGAGCATCTCCATGCACGTGGCGCTCACGGTAGCACTCGTCGCGGCGCCCCTGCCGCCGCTGGCCGCGCAGAGCTCCGCCGCGGCGGTCGCGCTCGTGGTCGTGCACCTGTTCATCCTGTTCGCGTGCCCGCTGCTGTTCCTGCACGCCCAGCAGTTCAAGCTGGTGGTGCAGGGGCGCTGGGACGAAGCGCCGACGGACGCGCGGGCAGGGTGACCCGCGAGCCGCGCGAGAGGGGCGTGGCAGGCGGCCGTTTGGCGTGGAAACAGCGACGCGTGGCTTTGTGAGGCTGGGCGGCTTGCAAACATCCGCTGTGCGAGTGCGGGAGTGCGCATCGGCGACGGGTGCAGCGGCGAAGGTGGCACATCTCACAGGTGTCGTGCTGGTCAATATGCACGTGCGGCGCGTTGCGCGGGCGACCGCGCCGCGAGGTTGCTGCTCCAAGGTGATGCTGAGGGCCGAGCGGTCGACGGTCGGGCGCGCCGCTTACGGGCGCGGCGGAGGCATTCCACCTGCGGACAAGCGGCGGAGTGCCCGGTGGTCGGAAGGTGCCGGGCGTGGGAAGCTGTGCCAGCGGGGCGTGGCTCGTGGTTGTGACGCTCGGCGCGCCCGGCATGCCGCAAGACGTGCCGTTTTCCGCACGACCGTGCACGATACGCCTAGGACATGCGTGGCGGAACGATCATCTGCGAGGCCGTGCCTCGCACGCGGCGCGGACCGCAGCGGAGAGCAAGCCCACGCGCGCGCGCCCGGTGCGTGGCCTGGGTGCGCGCTCGCGCCGCCTCCGCAGCCCGACGCCGACGACAGACATTCCAGCGACCGCGGACGCGCCCCATCTCCGCGCGGCGCGCAGTGTGTGGCCTCACCTGGCGCTGGCGGGAACCCAGGCGGCGGCCGAGCGCCTGGCGGGCCCATCCCTGGCGCCGGCGGTCCCCCGTAGGGCACGGGCGGCGCCGACATCTGCGGCCGCGGCACCATGGTCGGCCCGTGCGGCCCCCCCATTCCCCGCACCGGCCCCGCCAGCCCTGGAGCAGCCTGCCCCGGAGCCACGACGGGCATCCCGCGCCCCGCCGCCTTGCCCATCCCCGTCCCCGCCCCCGCCACCTGCGCCTTCCGCACCGCGTCCTCCGTCGGCGGCGGCCCCTCCACCGTCAAGCTCACCACCTCGTCCCCGCGCAGCAACACCATGCCCAGCACGCGCCGCTCCTCGCGCTCCTCCCCGCCCTTCCGTGGGGGCAGCTTGCGGAACTCCTCGCAGTCCCCGAGCACCAGGTTCATGTGCTTGTCGTACGCCATCAGCCGGCCGAGATACTGCCGCCCGCTCGCGATGGTGATCCTCATTCGATAGTTGATGTACTGCATCATCTTTGTCGTGCGGGCCGCCATCGTGCACACCCCCGCGCAGCCGCGATCTACGAGCCTGCGACAACAGGAGGGGTCCGGTCTGCCCGGGCGCGGCGCCCGAGCGCCGCAACCGCCCGCCCCGGGCCGCCGGGGCCGCGAAATTCACCTCCCGCCGACTGCTCGGCCAGTCCGACGCCCCGCTCGCGCGCCGGGGACGGCTTCGGCGCGGCGCGGTGCACCCTCGGGTGCAGTCTGCGTCCCCCCCGGACAGATGAACCTGCGCACATTGTAGACACAGTTCGAGGAGGCGAAAAGGAGACGTTGCTGGAGCGCAGCATTCAACAGCGTCCTGGAGTGCGTTCAGCGGCGCGGCGACGGCCCCCGGCCGCGTCAACCCACTGTTAAGTTGAATGTCTAGCTCACCGCGCGCGAGAACGAACGTTGAATGAACCCGGTGGTTATGCAACAGGCCCTCTGTTGAGCTGGCACTTGTGCTGAGCTCCACGGGCCTCCGCCTGCGCCCCTCGCGGCCGCATCGGCCTGCTGGCCTCTGGGCCTCGTTGGGACGTCCGATGGCGGATCTGCGCGATCCGCGTCCCCGCCATTTGCGGCCCGCGCCGCTGGGCAAACCCCAGCAGTGGAACGATGGTGGCCCGGACTCGCCAGAGCGCCTCGCGCCCTCCCCGCGGCCACGCGCGAGGGGCCCCTTCGAAACCCCGGACCCGGCGGCACCCGGAGCGCGGCGTGCTCGCGCGCGCCCCGCGCAGGCAGCGCCCGCGGACGGGGGCGCCAGCGGGCGCAGCTTCACTCAACGCAGCAGGTGAGCACGCGAGGGTCCTCTCCGCTTGGTGCACCGCTCACAGGAACGGACTGATCCCGCTCGACATCAGGGTCGTGTCTCGCGCGCTCCGCGCAGGCCCCCCGGGACGCGCGAAGGCCACAGGGGGGGCGTGGTCGCGCAGCCGCCCGCGTCGGCCGACGGGTTCGACTGGAGCGAAGTGGACCGCCAGCTGGACACGGTGAAGGAGCAGTACAAGTCCCCGGCCTTCGACGCGCTTCCGCAGATCCTCAGCATCGTCAACGACTTCAACCCTGACCGCGCCCTGGACAAGGTGCCACACCCCCCCACACCCCCCCCGACCTCGCGACCACCCCCGCACAGCCCCACACGTCGCAGCTGCGCGCCTCCCAGACGCGCTGTGCCTCTCCGCTGCGCCGCCGACCGGCAACCGCGCCGTCGCATTGTCGCAGGTGCGCGGCCAGCAGGACCGTGTGGAGGCGTTGATCGACGCCGTCGTC